ATATATATATATATATATATACAGTATTGAACAAAGAGGTCACATGACAGGATACTGTTGCAAAACTTAGTATAGTATGTATAGTATGATTTATTATGAACATTTAAAAATCATATTATAAAGTCAAATCAAAGTTAGATGTTTAATTACTGTAATTTTAAAATTCAGAAATTGAATATACATATTAAATACATTTAAGTATTTTTTGCAGAAATTAAATATAAAATTCTCATACCGTTACTATATCGGAAACTATACCAAATTAATTTTCGGTCTTCCCAATCTTCAACTATTACTATTAGCTAATACTAACAGAATTACTAAGTAGTTGTACTAACCAGTGCTTGTAAAGTATTATACCCTTACACTATAACACATGAATCTTAGACTTCCACTAAAAAGTAAAGCCAAAAGTCATATCTTTATATAATAATGGTGATCACGCAGTATATTTAACTTAATTGTAAGTTTAGTTTCAAAATTGTCTTGTTTAGTCTAGTTCAGATTCAAATATTCATTCCTATCATACTAAAAACTATGATATATATAATTATACAAATTATTACTTGGATTTAAATTCAAAAACACAAAAAATAATAAAAATAAATACTTGTCAATGCGTAAAAATAAAACTGAGTCATGGTTCGTCAGCGTCCAACTCCTTAGCTTACATCTAGAACTCAGAAGTAAAACTAACTTTAGGCTAATAAACTATGGAGACCCGCTAGCGTTATACTATAATTTATAGTATTTTTATTAGTATTAATATTATATTAACCTCCTATCGTTAGCTTTTAGTTTTACTCACTTTAGCGTGTTTGTTTGAAGTTAAGCACAAAGCTACATAATGGGTTATCTGTGCTCTGCCCCCACGGGTATCGAAACCCGGTTTCTAGAGTTGTAAGTCCGCAGACATGCCACTAGGGGGCCTCACTTTAGCGATACCATTGTTATCAGTGATGCCTTGCAATTTGTAGAAGCACTAGTAGTAATAGTATCAGTAATTAGTAATACTACAACTTACAAAAATGGCATATACATACATATTTTTTATATTATATTTCATAATTTTTAATTTTCATTCTGCGTCAAACTCTTTCTTTATCGGGATGGTGGGAAGATCAGGTTTGATGCTTTCACCTCTTCCTTCCGTCAAATACTAGCGTGAGAAAGAAGCAATTAAAAATACCGCTTTATAAACAACATCAGAAACTTAAAACTGTACATTAAATTTAATCTAATCTTACTTTTGACATTTCTCCTAGTTTTAATCGGCACAGCGGCGTGTCTGCGGGCATAAAACGCTAGAAACCGGTTTCGATACCAACGGAGAACGTATGACGAGCTGTGTACCTTTCTGCTTAATTACAAACAAACCTGGTTTTTACATTAAATTTAAAATATCATACAGCGCTCTCTATCATGATAAGAAAGGGAAGAGATATAGCAAACAACGTGTTTATCGACAGTTAAAATTTTTGAAAGAAACTTGTTTGTTTGTTTGTTGTTAGTTTATTCACAAAGCTACACAATGGTCTATCTGTACTCTGCCCACCACGGGTATCGAAACCAGCTTTCTAGCGTTGTAAGTCCGCAGTCATACCGCTGTGTCAATGGGGGAATTAAAAGAAGCGTATCCCATTTTCTACAAGAAATAAAAAAATGACAAATATGAAAACTTGGAACCAAGAGTGATATAATTAATCATATTTCAATAAAAAAGTACTGACAGAATAATGTTGAAAATACGCAAGTTAATATAATTTACGGAGTTATCACAATTTATTTATTTTTAGTATTAGGGAAAAGGTTTGGTTTGAAGTTCGTTCAAAACTACTCGAGGCTATCTTCGGTAGCCGTTCCTAATTTAACAGTGATAGGTAAGGCTGTTAATCAACACCACCCACCGCCAGCTCTTGAGCTGCTCTTTTATCAACGAATAGCAGGATTGATCGTCACATTGAAACACCCCCAAGGGGTATTCGAACTCATAACTAGCAGTTTGCGAGTCAATCGCCCTCTACCGGGCTATGACAGACCTTAGGGAGAAAAGCGTTCAACCACCTTTTATAGTTTGGATTATTAGGGGATATTAAGAATTACCAGAACTAATTTTTCAACTGACCAAATTTTCAATGTTTTTACTATTTTACTTCAAACATTAAGTGACCAACCAACATAAACTGCTCTTATTATAGAAGATTGGAAAAACCCATTAGATAAAACCAGATTTTGACCAGTTCTTTTCCCTTTCTTTTTTTTCCAGTGTTGGTGACCTCTCTGACTTGTTACATTGAACGACAAGTGATACCAAATTCATCTAGACTTTAAAATACTTTATAATCGGTTTTCACAAAGCCAAAACAAGATTTAGACCAATTATTGTAAGAGTACTTATTTATGTTATTTTATTTAAATGATGAAATCAATTAAGTTCTTTTTTTTTTTTTTGTTATAAAAACTGTCAGCTTTGCCTTAGTCAATGAAATTTTATCATTAGCATTAACTAGAATTTTCTCCCGGTGTCATGAATGTTTAATACTGATTGAAACAAGGAGGATCCTTTTTTTAAATATCAGACATTTAAAAGTTTTAATAATCTTTTCTTGCCACTTTATTGCACTGTTCTTATACAGTCATTCCTATTGTGTTTTGTTTAATTCTAGTTCAGATAGAAGAACTTTAAAAGAGATTGTTTCATCGAATTAGAGAGCAATGACAGTTTAATTTAGTTATATTCCACCAGTATATGAGGCCAACTTTGTTTCACTCTTCCAAGAAGCACCGATAAGCTGTGAATTCAGCGAAACTAGTCTACTGCAACGGAAGTTGGGAATCAAAAAATAGATTAGGCTTTTAGAACAAGTTTTTTTTCACTGAAATTCAGTTTTGTTGAGGAAAGTAAATTGACAAGTAAATAGTATCAATTTTACAAAACTGTTTTCATATTGGTGTGATAGATTTGAAAACCCAATTATTTTGCATAGTTTTGACTCATTAAGTTTGTTTTTAAAATTTTGTCCTGAAGTAAAAGGGTAACTCATAATCATTGATTATGATCACTGGGAGATTTCCATGATGTTTTGTTGTTGTTGTTGTTTTTTTCCTTTCTGGTCAAGTGAAAGATGCCGTTTACATTAAGATCTGAAGAGCTTAGACAAATCAGTTTTGTCCAGTTTGTATAAATCTACCACCATAAAAGTATTAAAATCTAGGATGTTATGACATCATCAGTTTGTGGAATATTCAAAATAAAGTTAACCTTTCTTTCAAGTTCAAACACCATACGAGTATATTTTGTTTCATAAAGGTCCATAAAAGTGTAATTGAAATTTAATTGTGTTATTATTTCAAATCGACTTATTACTATTCAAGACTTTTGTATAGCTATTTCAAGTTTAAGTGTTGTAACTGCATACCACGACATTCTGTGTGGCAGACCTAAGTTAACCCTTTCCAGCATGGGAATTTCGTGTATTATCCGGAGAAAGTGGCGACATCAAATCTGAGCTTTAATCTAAATTAACCATTTCTAAAATAACCTTTTCCAGCCTGGCCATTCCGGGTATTACCCGGAGAAAATGATGGCATCAAATTTCAAAATATTATTTATGATGCATTCTCAAAAAGTTATTCCAAAATAAAATTATAAATGAAATTTCGAGAAAAATAGTTTATTTTAACTTAAATTTCCTTAACATTTGTTTTGGATTAAGTAATAAAAAAATCAAACTGCTAGTCTTAATTATCTATTTTTGATTTATTCTTCTTTAGACCATGGAAATCATTCAATTTCCCGCCTGTGAAGAGACAACCTGTCGATAGACAAATTAAATAGAGTAAGTACATAGATATACTTGTGTTAGATATGTTAAATAAATTTAGTAATAGATCTTAATTTACTTTTATAGAAAATATGACTGTCAATAGTTTAGTATTGTTGTATATGAACATATCACGAATTTCCGTCTTCTTTCAATATTGTTATAGAGTGACCTATCATTGCGCGGGTTTCTTTGGATTATTTGGTAAAAATAATACATCCCAATCTAGGTAACGATAATGAATGAGTTTATTTCTTCTACAAAGTTTGATACAGGCTACATCCACTTTGACACGAGTTGCAGGCCTAAGTTCAGATACAACGTTTCAAAAGAAAATTTATCGCTAATGGTAAGCCTACCTCGCAAATAAACTTACTTAAATAATTCCATGTGTTATGTGTTTTAATGAAGATTGTGCATTTTGTATCTCACTCTGTACCTGTTCTCATTATTCGATTCAACATCATTACTCAATTATTCGAAGGTTTAGCATTATTCGAAGTTAGTATCTTGACCGAATCTCCTGTTGTTAAACGGAATTATTCGATTACTCGAAGGTTAATTCAGTTTTTTCTGAATATATTACAATGTTTCGTATATTGAAGCAGCAATACGACAGTTATACATTTCAGTATTAAATGCAATTAACTCTTAATATAACAACACAACGGTAATTAACATTACACGGTAATATAATCTCACGACAATTAATTAAACCCTCTTGGTAAATCTTCATTTACACCTTTTCTTAAGGCGACAGACCCCTACTGCCAACTTGTTATATTCTTTACATCAGAACATCGATGAACGTTTCATTCTCTGTGATTAATTACCACCACATCATTGGTGATTCGTCGATCAATGTTGGATGGGAGGGAGAGTCTGAATCCTTTAAATGGGAGTGAGTCTCAGGATATGCAGCCAGAAATTACAAGTCAACAAATAGCCAGCTGCCTCGTAAAATCAACATACTCTACCCTAATACTACTCGTGAAAAGTCTTTTATAAAACGTATTTCGTGCTATTACTACTCGCGAAAACAGTAAAAATGTGCTCCACACTAATACTGTTCTCTAAAAGCCTTTACAAAACGTATTCATGCTAATATTACTCTGAAAAGTCTTTACAAAAAGTCCTCCACGTTATTACCGCTCATGAAATGCCTATACAAAAGTGTTTTATACTGTCAATCCTCTGTTAGACAGCGGAAGTCACGTGACGGTGGTAACACGTGATGAGTTTCTAGAAAGATCATGACTGTTCCTGGCAACTCTAGTCTTTTCTACGCGCCCTCTATTTTAGTATATAAGCCCGGCAAATAAAGAGGAGATGATAACTGCAGATAGATGGAGATATATAGACAGATAATCGAGTCAAGTCGTAAGTAAAGTGCGTGGATCATTGTGAATTATAGCGTGTGTTTAACTTAAAGTGACTGTGGAAATTCTGTGTATTGCAAAGTTGTATTGAGAAAGAATAAACTAGTTTTATTTAAGAAAGGACTTGTATCGCTGAAGTTCTTCGGAAAGAATTTTTACGGGTAATTAACAAACGACCAGAGACGTAACACCTCGCTATAATTCTTGGGACTGTAACTACTTCCCCCCTTTTGACAGTCTCATAACAACCATTGTTAAAATGTAACTTGCCTTCCTAAGTTCCAGAATCACGTGACCGTTTAACCTAATTTAAACTAACAAACATTCAGAATAAAGTTATACTACTGGCAATGGATTTCCTACTTGGTTTTGCCCTCACCATATGATTTATATTCTATCGTATAGACAATACTTATAACCACTAATAATAACAAATTTACAATGATCATATGCAATGTATGAGTAATTCATAATGGCCATATATATATATAACCCATGAGGAACTCATAATTACTTCATATAGTCTATAAGCAAATCATATAATCATATATAACCCACAAGCAACTCATAATGGTTACACGTAGCTCATGAGCAAAGAAATAAATAGCAAGACAATGATGGTGATGATGTTGTTGAAGTTACAGAGAAAAATGGTTAAAATAATGACGGAGAATCAGATCGTTTTCTATGGTATAGTTTATTTTTATATGTGATGATTATTTTCATAAAGAAGTTATCCATGAATATTAGCAAACTAGATTATTTGAATTATGGTGAACATTTTCGTATAAAGAATACAAATTAACTTTTCTGCCAAATGCTCAGAAGTTATACCTTTAATCAACGCATACTGGAAATTAACAGAAGAGGACTGATACGAAGGAAATAAAAAAATGTTTGACCGATTACTGGATGGAAAATGTTCTTTGAGATTGTATACACAGTCAGAATACAAAACTAGTGAAGAATGATAAACACCAGCAGTGCTAGGGAACGATTTATTTCCTTCTGAACGAAAATTAGTTGTTAACCGATAATTGAATAATATCTATATAAAAATAAGAAATACGTGACATACACAATTATTAAGTTAGGTTTGTTTGTTTGTTTAAGATATTCGCGCAGAGCTACCCGAGGACTATCTACGTTAGCCGTCCCTAACTTTGAACTGATAGACTAAAGAGAAAGCAGCAAACCCAATATCACCCTTCGCCAACTCGTTAGATACTCTAAACGAATATTAGTATTTGACAGGTTATTCTTATAACGCACCTATGGGCTTAAAGTTGAGAACGCAACTAACTAGGTTCTGTGCATGAGTTTGAAGGTAGGCCTAATTCAGCGGTGATAGGTAGTAAAAACGTTGGTCGCCTAAAGAATAAAAGTCTCTTCTCTACATTGGTGATTATTACGTCTTTGAATATCTAGAAAAAAATGACTACCGTATTAAATTACGTTATCTTTACTTGTCACGTTACGTATTTTATCCGATAAATACTCATCAGACATTTACAAATTAGCACTTTCTAAAAATTAATTTGTCAAATTCTGGTTTGTACTTTTACGAAAAACCAGCCGAATTCGGTTAACTGTTGTATAGGATCTGATGAGGTAAAACCAGGGAAATACCTTGGTTTTCCTAACCTTCTGGAAATTCAAGACGTGTTTAATAAGATATTTCCTATGTCTGCGTTTTACAAATTTTCTAAGTTAGGGAGAGGATCTCAAAAGTAGAAAGTTAATTTTAACAATATATTACTTGTTCATTAGATTGTTGAATCGTTTTGAAGTTAAACGTCAAAGTATGTAATAACTGAAATAAGAAACACACAACGTTAAAATCGATACACAATTATAAACATTTTTAATTCAGGCCAATTTATGGCCTCTAAAATGTTGATTCTACATGTTTCAACGTTTACCACGTCATCATCAGGGGTGAACGCGCGCGCAAGACATAAGTGTCATATTTATTCATTTTTAGATGGCTCGTGTGATTATCATTCAAATTTGTTTTAAAATATTATATATTAAGTGGTTCATAGCTTAATAAATCCAAGTTTCAAATATGGAATCCCGATATTTCCAGAAGGTATTTTCTCCCCTTTATAAACGAGGTATTGTTTAAGGGTGTGGTTTCATCAAATTATGGTTTGAGGTCTATGCGGTTTCTTTCCAATCGTTCTATGTTTATACAAGTAATTCAATTATCTATGGTTAAGTACTTGGATCGTCAAATTTCTTTTCAGTTGGTATTTGTTTGTTATTCTTTTAATTTTTCAAAATAATTTTACCGCCATGTAGATGTTATACTAATGATAATAATTTTGTCTTTCAATTTAAGTCTAAACATAAGTAAATGCTTATTCGAAGAAATGTTGCGCTTATTTCTTTTAATGAGACTTATGGGCTAATTTACCTATAAAAAGGTTATCGTGGTTTCTAAAAGTCACATGATTACATTTCACTAATTTTTTTAAAAAATATCTAAATCGTATTATTTTTCCAGCAGTTGGCAGTATCACGTTTTTGGTTTTCAGATATTAATCTGTTAGTTCTGGTTCCAATCAGCGGGGCCCGGCATGGCCAGGTGGTTAGGACGCTCGACTCGCAATCTGCGGGTCGCGGGTTCGCATCCCCATCCCACCAAACATGCTCGCCCTCTCAGCCGTGGGGGCGTTATAATGTGACGGTCAATCCCACTATTCGTTGGTAAAAGAGTAGCCCAAGAGTTGGCGGTGGGTGGTGATGACTAGCTGCCTTCCCTCTAGTCTTACACTGCTAAATTAGGGACGGCTAGCGCAGATAGCCCTCGTGTAGCTTTGCGCGAAATTCAAAACAAACAAACCAATCAGCGGTGTTGTTTAGAAATATCAATGAAAATAAAGATTCGATTGATAGTCTTAGAGTCAGTGAGTTGAAGAAATTGTCATTTATAACCCTACAGCTTTAAAGTGACACAGGTCGTAGCTGAGAAGGTTAAATATTCTGTCCACGTGGTGCGACGGCTCAGATAAATATTCAGTCACTCGACGCTGGGAGCATGCGCGCTGGAGTTTCTCGAAGGATCATGAATTATCGAGGAACCCCGTGAATGTCCGAGTGTTTGCTAGATGCCCTCTTTTTTAGTATATAAGCCTGGCGAGAAAAACCAGCGGGATTGAAGAGATATAGACTGATTGATGAGATAGATAATTGAGTCAAGCGAACAGTAGGCACCGTAAGTAAAGTGTGTGAATCGCTGTGATTTATAACGTGTGTTATAATGGTTGTTAAGTTCAAAGAGACTGTGGAAATTCTGTGTATTACTAAAATTTGTATCGAGAAAGAATAAACTAGTTTCAATCAAGAAAGGACTTGTATCGCTGAAGTTCCTCGGAAAGAATTTCTACCGGAAATTATCAAACAAGCAGATAGGTAACAGTAATATAAGAATTGTTTAAGCGCAATATCTTAACAATCAGATCGTAATATAAGAGTTGTTTAAGCGCAATATCTTAACAATCAGATCGTAATATAAGAATTGTTTAAGCACAAAATTTTAACAATCAGATCGTAATATAAGAATTGTTTAAGCACAACATCTTAACAATCAGATCGTAATATAAGAATTGTTTAAGCGCAATATATTAACAATCAGATCGTATTATAAGAATTTTTTAAGCCCAATATATTAACAATCAGATCGTATTGTAAGTATTGTTTAAGCACAATATTACCAATAGCTATTTAATGACCGTAAAAGTATCAAAACCAAACTCTAAATCAAATATTATAACGGTATATTTTCTTTTCCAGCTTCCGAATATTTTTATGGGGTGTGTAAAAGTATGACTTCGAATTTTAATGTGTTTCACTTTTTATATCTGTTACGTTACATTGCAAGCCATTAGTACCCCTGACATAATATATATTTTGTTGACTCAACAATGTTCATGTTAATTAGAGATAGTGTTTGTATAGCGTGAGTAATGTCACCAGTCTTTAAAAATAGAACTGAATGAAGAACAGTCACGTAAGAAATCAAAATATTGGTTTAGTATATAGTTGTAAACTTCAGAAATAAAGCTCTTGATAAACTCTGGGTCTAAATGTCTAAGCTAGGTGCAAGGAAAAATAATTTCTCTGTTGCCTAGTGGCCAAAACTTAAGCAGGATAAACATTAGCTGATAAAAAAATTCGACAGTTTTGACACATTCGAAAGAGTTAATGAGCAGTATTTTTACATTTTATACAATTCCCTTTAATTATCTTTAAGTTTTCCACACAATTTATGTCGTTAATAAGAAATTAACATAATCATAAAAATAAAGTGGAAGAACATTAAGTTCATAAAGTGATAAAGCGGAAGAACATTAAGTTCATAAAGTGATAAAGCGGAAGAACATTAAGTTCATAAAGTGATAAAGCGGAAGAACGCTGAGTTCATAAAGTGATAAAGTGGAAGAACATTAAGTTCATAAAGTGATAAAGTGGAAGAACATTAAGTTCATAAAGTGATAAAGCGGAAGAACGCTGAGTTCATAAAGTGATAAAGTGGAAGAACATTAAGTTCATAAAGTGATAAAGCGGAAGAACGCTGAGTTCATAAAGTGATAAAGCGGAAGAACACTGAGTTCATAAAGTGATAAAGCGGAAGAACATTAAGTTCATAAAGTGATAAAGCGGAAGAACATTAAGTTCATAAAGTGATAAAGCGGAAGAACACTGAGTTCATTAAGTGATAAAGCGGAAGAACATTAACTTCGTAAAGTGATAAAGCGGAAGAACACTGAGTTCATAAAGTGATCAAGCGGAAGAACATTAAGTTCGTAAAGTGATAAAGCAGAAGACCACTGAGTTCATAAAGTGATAAAGCGGAAGAACACTAAGTTCATAAACCGATAAAACGGAAGAACATTAAGTTCATAAAGTGATAAAGCGGAAGAACACTGAGTTCATAAAGTGATAAAGCGGAAGAACATTAAGTTCATAAAGTGATAAAGCGGAAGAACATTAAGTTCATAAAGTGATAAAGCGGAAGAACACTGAGTTCATAAAGTGGTAAAGCGGGTCAATTGGGGTCAAATGTCTTATAAAAATATAAATATGATAGTAAAAGATGTAAGTTTCATCAAGAAAATGTTATTGTTTGTTTGTTTGTAATATAAGGTTACTTTACAACAGGATAAATATGATAGTAAACGATGTAAGTTTCATCAAGAAAATGTTATTGTTTGTTTGTTTGTAATATAAGGTTACTTTACAACAGGATAAATATGATAGTAAACGATGTAAGTTTCATCAAGAAAATGTTATTGTTTGTTTGTTTGTTTCATGGTAATGTAGGAAAGTATTTCTATAATATGTGTGTGTGCGTTTTAAACAACGAATACTTTTTTCCCTTTTTTTTTGCAAAAAGAAATTTTCACAAATTAAACGAGCAGAGGAAATATTTTTTATGTAGTCATATACTTTTTATTAAAATATTTTAATGGACAGAATTAAAGGATCCTCGTCCCACCAAACATGCTCGCCCTTTCAGCCGTGGGGGCGTTATAATGTGACGGTCAATCCCACTATTCGTTGGTAAAAGAGTAGCCCAAGAGTTGGCGGTGGGTGGTGATGACTAGCTGCCTTCCCTCTAGTCTTACACTGCTAAATTAGGGACGGCTAGCGCAGATAGCCCTCGTGTAACTTTGCACGAAATTCAAAAACAAACAAGCAGAATTAAAGGAATATTTTTTTAATCATGATGGAATTTTTTAATAGAATAATATGTCAGAGAAATTAAACTGGAATTTTATACATAAAACCATAAGATAATGTTATTGTAGAAAAAAAAAGTAACAATAAATGTTATTTCTCCATTCCTTCCCGCAAGCAATACGAGATACAAAGTTTGGTTACTGATAAGAGTCTATTAAATATATTTGTCTCCCTCTCAGGTTTACAAAGAACTTGTATTCTACGTGCTCAAGATAAGTAACATCTTTATGGTGAATAATTTGAAGCTACTAAAGGTATTTAATTTTAATCACAACAAGTCAACAGTTTCACCTGAGGTTCAGGCTACAGTAACACAACAACGTTCTTAAGCTCACAAGTACAGCCGCTTCTGATCCTGATGTAATCTAAACGCCAGGTGGTATTTGTATCATACTCTCGAACCAAAGCGTAAGTGAAACTATACTTCTGAACACAATGAGAATGATGCGTCAGCGAAGGTGAGATATAGCGACAGGGACGCCCTCTCATCTCTTCTACACAGGAGGTTTGATAAAATTTTTGTGTGGAATTTTGGTCATGGTAAAGCTCGAGTATTCGGCCAGATCTGGAAACTCCTCCCATTGGTTCGATGACCTCTGTTACTGACGGGCAGCATTCTATAGGCTCTGGAATCCTTAGAGGGAGTCCAACTTGTTTATCAAGATCTAAAGTGTTCCAGGTCCAATCCCTGTGTAGAACTCCAGGGTCTCTGTGGAATGAAAAGGGTAAATGGAATTGTCACTCGTACTGAACTTTGTAATTCGTGTCCCAAGCCTAATTTTGTATGTCTGTATTAACTTGTTTAATGTTGTATTTATTCATGCTTAGTAAAGTAAACATTGATGGATAGACAGAACTTGAAAGCTTCTCTCTCTCTCTCTGAGCATTTTGAGAACTATTTAATAATATTTTCAAAACATTTAACTGTTTCCAAATATCAAGTCTTAAAAACATGGCAAAACTATTTTCTGTATTCTCGTTCCCTAAAGCCTTATGGTACTGTCTATACGACAAATAAAAAAATCTCTGTCTTTCTCTCTTTATTTGGTTTATATATATATATATAAAGAAGGTAAGAATACGAGAAGATGATTTAGTTGGTCTTAGAGTCAATTGACAAGATGTAATCTTACCTCATGTGCTTCTGTTTCCACAAGACAGTTCTCCCACGACTGTGATTGGCCGACTTTCCAGAAACACAAGCAATCAGGGAGATACACTGTCGGGAAGGGAACCACCAAGAAATTAGAGACACGTGTAAGACTCTAAAGAAAACATGGAGGCAAAAGCTTACATGATCAGATCCGCCTTAAGTTAAGACTCCGAGACAATCACGTGGACGTGGTGGTGTGTCTGGTGTCAACTGCTCTGTTAATCTTATCTCAGTATTTAATATCATCACCGTGTCTTACTTGTGTCACCTGAACCACAAGTGTCGTTCGATAATATTCTATTACTCCAGAAATATACTTAATAATAAAATAAGACAATTTTAATCCATCTCTTCTACGTTTTATTTCGATATTCTTTCAGAAAAAAACAAGTTTTAATTCTCAACAGGTAAAAAAAAATTACCAAACAGCAGAGCATGGCTTATATGTTTCACATTTTATATAACTTTAGTTACTATAGTTTAATGTCTACTTCCCTTTTCATGTCTGTACCTAATGTGGATAAACATCAATGCTGGAATATCTAAACAGATAAACATCAGTGTTGGAGTAGCTAAACAGATAAACATCAGTGTTGGAATAGCTAAACAGATAAACATCAATGCTGGAATATCTAAACAGATAAACATCAGTGTTGGAGTAGCTAAACAGATAAACATCAATGCTGGAATATCTAAACAGATAAACATCAGTGTTGGAGTAGCTAAACAGATAAACATCAATGCTGGAATATCTAAACAGATAAACATCAGT